AAAATCCCCACGAATCCGACATTCATTATAATATATATATATAGATCACTAAGTGTAGTTTATTGTAGAAGGAATACAATTAGACAAATTTCAGAAAATGTTTTTATTATTACGAGTAGGTCATATTTGAAATGTTATTGAAGTTCGCATAATTTAATATGTTCGTTTATCTTTATATTACTATTTACTATCCAAACTTTAACAAGTCATTAAAACACGAAGACTGTAGGTATTATAGGCAAGTTTGGTATGTACCTATATATGTAAAATGCGTATTATAACTTGTGTCAATAGTCGCCATACAGACTTGGGACCGGGTTAGTCAAGCTCAGTATGAATTACTTGGACTCCGATGCAGTCAGTGTAGGTTTTGCCATTCCATTATTAGTTATATCAATACATGAATATATTTTATAAATATATAATACATTATAATACGGTGTATTGGTGTTCAACTCGATGTCAATATTCAACATGCTTGTATTTAATAATAATTACATTTGTATTTATTAATTTATTTTTCGATGATAAAATCGCCTATAATCATCTTTTATAAAATACAGGTATTTACATTTTCTTTTCCAATTAGATCTTTTCATTTTAAAACGTCCAAAACAGAACGTATAGGTTAGGTTAGCTATATATATATATATAATGTATTATACATTCTAAGTAAATATATTGTAAATAATTCTCAGGATCAAGTTTCACTTGATTTTATATTTAAAACATACAAAAATTACCCAGTACCAAAACGAGTGTTTTCGCTTGAAAAAAACTAAATAAACTTTCTTTTATTGTATAGAATATCATCAAAATAAATATATTTTCCAGCTCGTATTACAGCGGAATGTCTTTTTTTCTTTCTGTATTTGAATGTAATAATTATTTTTTTTACCGTTTTTGAAGTATTGAATTACAAGACCGTAAACCAAAAATTAAGTAGATACACAGTCATTATAATATAATGTATAAAACATATTTAGGTAATATAAAATGAAAAAAAAAATAAATATTTTATTGTAGGTACGATCTAAATGTAACGGACGAATGACGTTTTTTTTTAGCACAACTCGATTTAACCAAAAATAATTAGTCAACATTTATATACCCGTTTGTTGGATAGTTTTCTAAATTTGTGCTCCTTAATTCACGTATACGCGCTTTCACGTATTCACGTGAAATAAAGGTTCGATTAATAAGACCCGTTACTTAAAAGTTTCCGTGAATTTATAATATTATTCATATATCTACGCCTAACTTACTTATAGCGCTCTATTTTTATTCGTAGGAGAAAGATGGTTTTACTCATATCATAAATATTATGATATAGGTTAATAGTGAATAATATACATTTTCATACCAATCCAAATTATTTACGCGACTATGACTCCGATACGTATTTTAATATTTATTAATTCACGCATAATAATCACACGAGTTCACGATATCCGTGTACACTTGTGTTTGTATTCACTTAAAAAAGTAAGACTCCTAATCTAAATTAATTTTTTTTAACAATATAAACATCGAAACACAGATATTCGTCTAATAGGTGATAAATAAGTCTAATATGTCTGATAAGTACCCAATCAAAATAATAATTTAGGGGCGGTCAAACGTGTGGGATTCGGGAGAAATATCTTCCCGTGAACATTTTCTCTTCAATATTTACGTAGGTAATACAACGATGAATCATTATTATATTAGGTAGATATTAGGTAGATAACTATTTCTTTAAATTGGGCACACAAAAAAGATTTTGATATTTATATCGTTTATACATTGTATTTATGTAACCGTGTAATACTAGTTACGAGGATTGGCGAACGAAGCGACCACTGTAATAATTACATAATATATTTTAAGTAGGTACACTTGTACAAGCATGTATTCGTTTCACAATTAATTATCACTGTATTGACAGTGGCGTATTTAGAATATTTTTCGGGAGGTGCCGATGATTTACCTACAAAACACGAGACAAAGAACATAAATCAAATTCTGTTTTTTTTTTTATAAACAATGAAGTCTGTTTCACAATGAATCTTGCAATGGGTAGGTATATCTTTTGTGGGACATCCTGCGCACATATAAATCCATTATACCGAAATTATCGAATTGATTTCGGGGATGAGGGAGATAACATTTTTTTTTCAATTAATTCAACGTCCTTCATTCTTTTTCTGTTAACAAAAAAAATATCTAATTTGAATAGATACTGAGACTCCCTAGAACCTCCATTAGAAACGGTCTTGCAGGGTGCAGTCAAAGCCGTAAAAATGTCGGGACAAACAACATACAGGGTGGGGCACTTAAACGGCCGATTTTCAAAGATAAATTATAAAATAAATAGACGAATAAAAATTAATTATTATTTATTATATTGAAATACATAACTTGCCATTTATTTTTTAAAAATGATGTCCTCAAGATGATGGCCATTTCTTCTCGAGCATTCTTCTAGCCTACTTCGTATATTTTTCCCTACACGGTGTATCACTTCCAAAGGTGTACTGGCGATTTCTCCTATAGTTTTGGTTTTTAATTCATCAATATTTCGAGGTTTCTGTGCATAGACTTTACTTTTTAAATACCCCTATAAAAAGAAATCACATACTGATAAATCAGGTGATCGAGGCGGCCAATGAATAACACCATTTTTGGAAACATTTTGAATAAAGTTTACGTTTTCATCCATCCGGGTTAGCATTTCTCGACAAAAAGTTGTGCGGTTATAGAGATCTGCAGGTTTTAATTCTTGAATCACCTGCACCTTATACGGGTGAAAGTTTGGGTAGCTGTGTAAAATCCGACGTAGACTTCTACTGGACAAATTTAACGATAACGCATGTTTTCGTGCAGAACGTTTTTGACTCTTTATGAGATCGGCTCTAAACAGCAGCGACGTTTTCAGGCGTGCGAATGGTTTGTTTTCGTAAAGGCTTCTTTTTTAATGCTGAAACCGTTTTTTCAAAGTTGTTTATCCATATTATAATAATCTTAGCCGATTGTACCGAATCACGGCGTTTAAGATTGATATGAAGACGAAATGAACGCTGTGCGGCTTCGTAACAGTCATTATTTTTGTAAAACGATTTTATCGCATAAGCACGTTGATCACCACTCCACTGTTCTATGTTCATTAAATGGCATGTTGTCTTTGAACAAATAATATTTAGTGAGAATTCTTATCTTAATTACTACTGAGAAAATCTATTTTTAAAACCAGCCGTTTCAGTGCTCCACTCTGTATTTTTGTCCATTATCTATCGGCTTTCATTTTCTGCTTTCGAAAACAAATTAATGATATTAACTTTAAAATTCTTGTAGGACAGTATACTACTTATATAATTTTTTGCAGTCAGGGATGGGCAGTAGTCAGTTACATGTATCAAAGTTACGTAACTCGGTTACTTTTGTAATTTGTAACTTGTAATCAGTTACACAATTTTAAAATAACTTTTAAATGTAACGAGTTACAATTTGTTATGTAACTTGTAACAATTAGAATTAGATACAAGTAACTTAAGTTATAAAAATCATTAAAAAAAAAATAATTTAAAATTGTTACAATACTAATACATTATTATCAATACTACAATAATTATGTCATATTTGTATTCAATTAAAATGATATCATGCAAGTTAAACTTGAATATTTTCATTAAGGACTGAGAAAGCTAATCAAATATGATGCATCTTATAATTTTTGTTTATTTAGATGGGTACCTACTATTTTTAAAATGCTAATATTATCATGAGTCTTAGATTATATCAATTATATACTCTAAGTATAAAAATATAATATAATATGATCATTGTGGAAACCAAATTGTATCGGTATAAATAATATTTAGAATTCCGTCATGAATATAGAAGCCTGGAAAAACCGTAGATATGACTTAGTATGCAATAACGACGCATGTATTTTGACATTTCCTAATTTAATCGTATAAAGATAATCACAACTCTAATAAATATTATAAAAATAAAATTGGAAATTTGTAGGTACTTTGAACAATCATGGCATTACTGGTTTTAGTTTAACCGAAGTTAATTGTGTATCAGTTACGTTTATACTTTGTTAGTGTCGGTATTTTTTCGAGTTTTGACGCGTTTTTTTGTCAAATATGGATAAGACACCCGCTATATTAGATGGAAAATTTTTTGAAGTTGTAATTGTTAAGAACGAATTTGTGAAAGCAATATGTATGATATGCAAGGAACAGAAGAAAGAAAAAAAAACAATATCTGGTTCTTTTAAACACATTTCGAATTTTCGTACTCATATGAAGGCAAGTTTTAATTTTTGTAGTTAATACAATATGCATTATTATTAAAAGGGCGTGGAATTATGATTTAATTTTCTACTTTTCAGAGAGTTTATTTTACTAAATTTGAAGAATTTGAAAATTATGTGAAGACGAATACTCGAAAGAAAAATAATGAAAGTATGACAAATTCTAAATAATTTATTCCTATCTAACAGCGGAAGATTGAAGCAAACCCAATATGAAAATAATTTGGTTAATTGTTAACAATATGAAATCCCTATCCATAACTGAAAATAATAATTTTCAAAAACTTATTTTGGGTAGGTACCTATTTATGATAATTTATAAAATACACAAATTGTATTTAATCCAATTTCAATTAATATACTTATTTAGATTTAGATCCAAGTATAAAAATTATATCTAGGAGAACAGTTGGTAGACGTATAAGTGACAATTACAACAATGTTTCGAATAGTTTAAAATTATTTTTTCAAACACATTGTGAAGTCTACGTTTGTACAACTGCTAACATTTGATCGACAAAACATCACAGTTTTATAGATATTATAGCTGACTGGATAAACTTGATTATTTTACATCCTATAGCAGTTATAGGCTATACTATTTTCAGATCAATGACAAAACACTAGGCGTCATAGTTGTGTTTTGGCTTGCCAACGATTTTTTGGTGCACATACATTTGATAAAATTGGAGAAATTATGGTAGATATATTTAGCAAATTTCATTTAAGTAATGATAACATAGTTTCTACAGTAACGGATAATGATTGCAACTTTGTAAAATCATTTAAGGAGTTTGGATGTAAAATAAAGATATCAATCACTGATTCAGACACAGACTCTAACGAAGGTATATATTATACATAAATTATTTTATAATGATTGATTTTATAACGGGTCAATATATTTAGGTATGCACTAAGATCTTAACGAATACAATGAGTTATCATTTTTGGTTATTGATGGAAATGAAGATGGAGACATCCTACTACCAGTACTACCCCAAAATTTACGTTGTGCTTCACATACACTTAGTTTATTAGTGACAACAGATTTCCAGAATATATTAAAGAATTCAAATGCCAAAAAGTACCATCATCCAGCATTATCAAAATGTTCGACTTTTATGGAATTTGTCACAAAGACTGAAATCATCAGAAGTTATTAGTAATATAATTAATTGTTCTTTAAAATACCCTGTTATTACAAGATGAAATTCATTATATGATTCCATATCACAATTAATTAAACATAAAGCAAAATTAAACACCTTGACTAAAGAATTAGGTTTAAAGTATCAATTTAATGAAATTGACATAAGTTATTTGACTGAATTTGTTTTAATAAAGAAACCAATCGTTTGTGCTCTGGATCATCTACAAAGTGAATCAAATTTTCACTATGGCCATTTAATTCCTACTTTATTTTCATTAAAAAGTCGATTGAAATTATTAAAGGAACAACATTTGCGTTATACTTTTAACTTCATTGATCCATTAATAACCTGGTTAGAAAAACGATTCAAATTATATTTTGATCTCTCCCCAGAAGTTGATGAAGTTATATTGGCATCTTGTTTTCATCATACATTTCAATTAAGATGGATTCCTGAACACGATGAAATTATGAAAAATGAGTTAAAAATCTTTGTATCAACACTGCTGATAAATATATAGTGAATTCTTACACTGAGTCATCAGTAGTTAATATAGACGATGAGGACTTCTTAATATTTTCTTTTCAGTTACAGTGTTTTGATTCTAGGGCTAATTTAGAAGTAGTTCAGTATTTTAATAATAAAAATAAGGCATTAACATGTTTAGACAGTTATTCTACTGTAAAAAAAAATATTCACCAGATACAATACAAGTTTACCATCATCAGCTCCAGTCGAAAGATTGTTTTCTTTAGCTGGATTTATTCATGTCCTAAATAGAGGTAATTTATCGAACGCTAATTTTGAAAAATATGTGTTTCTTATAGGAAATAATATTTATAGTTAATATTATTAACATAATTTGTAAATAATAGTGCTAATGACAGTATGATTGACTCATTTTTAATTGATTTATAAACACTAAAAGCGTATTATCATTTTAATTTAATTTTGACATCTTTATATACCAGAAGAATAATATTTTACATTATTTTTAATTCAAATAAATATTTAATTTTCCAGTTAAAAATTTAAATTTATTAAAAATTATTTTATGACCCCAATAATATTATAGTTTTGTATGTATCTACATGTTTGTTATACATTATTTCAAATTCTATAAAATACTTATTTTATGATAATATTTAAGAAGGTTTTGTTAGGTTAAAACAATTAGTTATACTTGTATACAAATAAATAAAATTATAAATATTGGTACTATTGGAAAGTATACGGTTTATGCATTATTAGATACCTATCATTAAGTATTATTGATAAGTTTCATTATAAAAATTCAATAGTTTACTTTTAATGAATTTCTATAATTATAATTTAATTTATTTAATTAAATTATTAATTTGTTCATTGAATCATATTTTATCATAATGTAAGTAGTTTTATGTACTTAATGCTTATTTTTAATAAAAAAATTGAATATATTTTATCGTGTATTTATGTGTAACTTGTAACTTAAAATGTAACTCAGTTACAGTAACTATATCTTGTAACCAGTTACTTAGGATATATGTAACATGTAACATGTAACTTGTAATCAGTTACCCAAAATTAAAGTAACTTGTAACTTGTATCCAGTTACATTATGTACTGTCACTCGACCATCCCTGTCTGCAGTTATGCAGTTTGAGCGTACCGTTTTTACATTCTCATATCGTGTGTACGCATATATTATAAATTATAATATAGGTACCTACAGCAGTTCATGGCTATTGTTTTCTTTTTTTTATTTATTAATATAATTGTGTCAATACACCAAGTATTTTTACAGTGTTACAATTTTTTTTTTTTTTTTTTAAATTATAATAGTAATATTATAATATTATATTATTATATAATTAATTATGTAATGTATAATAGGTATACTATGTATAATAGGTTTAATAGATTTGGTAAGCTATGAGTCTGGGTCTGAGGTTGAGGTGTCTTCATTGGGATCTAGTAGGATGTCCTGTGGTAGCCGAGGTTTGAGTCTTAGATTTGTGGATCTCTTGCCGATATTGTAGTGACAGGCTCCGCCAACTGTGTGGAGTTTTCCGTGCTATTGTTTTTGAAATCTGTTGACTCTCGGCCGAGGGAGATGATCATTTTTGTTTTTTCATCAAGCTGAAAAATTCAAACGAAATAGTGATCGAACGTGCCGCTGTCCGTCTTTATACGAATGAGTAGCACAAAAATTATTGTCCGACGGGCGGGGGCGGTCGGCGGAACACGCGAGAGGGTCAAAAAAAATTACGGTCCCGACGTCATACCGTCTCCGGGGTTCCCTGAAAACGGTCTGACCACTGGTGACGAGCGCACCTATATTATAAAACGTGTAGGTATGTATTATACCTATACCTATACCGCCGCCGCCGCGGTATATCAACACCGCCGGGACCGCCGCCGCCGTCGTCCACCCGGCGCGTTTTGATAAATAACCCAATTTTCCCTCTTATGGCAGCTATTAATTAATGGATTAGGCCGGTAATAACTCTCGGCGGCAGTACTGGTTGGCGGTAAAAGACCGGGAAGGGAGGGGGGATCTCTCGACCGCCGATACGTATAGGAATAAATACACGCGCGTCGTCGTCGTCGTTACAAGTACAGTCGTTTTTTTTAACCGCAGAACTGTCGCGCCTACTCTTCCCCCCCAAGCTTTCCGCGGGCTCCTCAGAGTCGCCGGGACGACCGCGAGAAGCGCCCCCGTCCGCCGCGCGTTCGAGGTTATGATGTTTCGCGGGCCGCCGAAAAGGGATCGGATCCGACGGCGCCGGCATTTCTGTGCGCGTCACCGACCGCCGCGTACGTACGTAGGTCTCGTCGTTCCGTAACGTGGCGCCCGCGCGAGAGTTCGAAATCGTACAGCACCGTCCGTCCGTCCGTCCGTTTTCGCAATCCGCGTAATTATAATAGTTTTGTCGGTGTTTTTTTTATTATTTTTTTTTTTTTTTTATTCTATCCCGGTGCCATAATTTTCCGCCGATTTTCTTGCGAAAAATTTACCGCCGCGCGTTTTTTCGACACTGCGTTCATTTTCAATATCTATACTATCTATTAATTGCCGCGAAAAAAAAAAAAAAAAAAAAAAAAAAAATGGGCGACAGCAGTTACAATTCGCCGGTCAGAAGCAGTTACGGGTCGCCGGCCAGGAGTTTGAAAATGTTGGACAGGGTGTACGGTTCTCCGGTGCGATCGTATTGCGGCGATCATTCTTCCGCGACCGAGTCCGAAGGCGAAGACTTTGCCTCGTTGGATCCACTGCAGACCGAGATACCCGGCTCGCCGGACCAAACGGTCATCGACGGTTGGCTGAAGTTCAGGGACAACAAAAAAGTAAGTGGTTATTACCGGGAGGTCGACGACGGTTATTCGTACAAACGGTACGGACCATATGTTAATGTAAAAGCTAGAATCGGGCGAGTGTTCGATTCTTTTGAAATAGAGCCGAGTAAATATTATATTTCTTCGGGTACACGAAAATTGTCGAGTATTTGAAATTGAACGAGTACCTACCAGCTCGAATATGTACTGCAGTGTGTACACACTGAAATCGCAGAGTTCTGTATTCTTGACAGACCGCGCGAGAGTTGATTAACATGCAAATTTATCGTTATCAAAAACAAAACTAATGGCAATTTTTTGTAAATTTAAATCGCCACGAAAATGCGACGAAAATCGAGTATATGAGTTTACACGAGTACAGCGGAAAACAATTTGTTGGGTCGAGTATCCACTCGAAATCGACTCGCGAATTTTTTCCAAAATCGAGTAGGTACCCGCCCAAATTCTTAATTAAAAACCTGTAGTACGATAGTGTTTAATTTATATAATTCGGCAATGCGAATTAACCATACATATTTTTTTTCTCTTTATACTGATCAAGTCAGGAAATAAAAATAAATCTAGGAAAAACGCATCTCGAGTTGAATGTAAAGTTACATTTTACAAAATAAATTTTGCCTTAACTTAACACTCGTAAACGCCACCACATCTTTGATATTTATACTTTAATTATTCTCACCCCGGGGTACGGCGCACGCGTGTGAATTTCCCGAAGGTCTCATGTCTGCTGTCTTATTACGTGAAAATAACGGTATGCACGTAAAAATACGTAATTTCTATTCGAAATATAAATGTAAAAAATGTGGGAACAAACAACGCGTAAATATCTTCGATTTTAACAAAACAATCAAATAATATAATTACCTGAATTTAATGTTCTCAAGAAATAATTTAGTTATCAAGCTTCTAATTAAATTTTCAACTAGTTAACGTCAACGTTTTGTAGTATAGGCAAGGCTGGGCAAATCGATGATTTTTTTCAATTCAACCAAGTTAGAAGTTAACCTAAATTTAAAATTAACTTTTTAACTTAAGTTATGTAAATAAAAAAAAACAAAAAAAATTTTATATTGTCTATGGTCTTATTGTACATATTACCTATGGCCTAATATCTAACTACCTACGACTCCAAACGGCTGTAATAGTAAAAAATAACAGGCATTCATAACAATTTGTATTTTAAAATGTTCATAATAATAATAATATATTTATTTATATATAAATAAAAATTGAAATTAACTTAACTTGTTTAAATATAAAATTAACCCTAGTTAATTTAAAGTTAATTCTTTTGTATTGTTCAAGTTAACAATTAATTTTTGTATAATATTTTAAATATCTACTTTTTTCTTTTTAAGTAATTTTTACAACTTTGTTATTGATTATGAGTTGATTTACATTAATATAAATAATGTTCACTATTCATTTATACCTACTGAATCTAAACTTAAAGAATTAGATATCTTTTCAATTTTAAGTCCTGACTAGAAACTTTTTACTAATGTAATATATTTATTTTAAATTTTGGAAATAATACAAAAATATACCCGGTGTGTCATTAATAGAACTAGAAGCTGAAGTGTCTGTAGTTTTATATTGTTGATCAACTTAAATAATTAAAAATTCATAAGTAATAAAACAAAGTATGGTAAACTTTTTATAAACTTTGTAATTGTTTTTGTATATACACCAATACAATTATTTGCATTTTTAATAAAAAATCTGTCAGAGTTCCTTTTTGGCCTTTTGTTGCACATTTGTTTTTTTTTGGCAAGATTCAATACGATTACAGTCGGTGTCATTTTTTTTAACACGTTCACGTTTAAAACACCTACTCACATAATACCAATTTCATATTTTTAAAAAAAAAAAAAGAATCCAATAAGTAAATTTAATGTTTTGTAAGAATTGTATAAAATAGAAGAAATGCAATTTTAAATACTTTTAAACTGTACAAAACCACCGGTGAATACCGTGTAAAAACCTCCGGGTCGACGTTACACCTAAGTACACGACGATAAGTCGCGAATTTATGATTATCCAGTGATAATATAAATTAAGTATAAAAACAACGTTCGACGGTTCGGCCACGTCTTTGTTATTTTGTTGGCTGGTGGGGGGGGGGGGGGCGGTGTAAGTCGCGGAACAGGCACATTCGACTGTACGTAGCATATTGATATTGGGTTTTCCGTGGGTTTTATAGAAATAGGAAAACATACGAAGCATATTATTATTATTACAACATTACTGAACGTCTAAAATTATTATTATACATGTATGATATTAATTATAGAGTTGGGTTTGTAATCGTATTAGGTGATCTATATTTTATTCGAAAATAATTCAGCAGAAAATGTATTTTCGAAAATTACCCATTTGAGCAGAAAAATATTTTAATCAAAAAATAATTTATACGAAAATGTAACATGTGACGAAAGTAAAATGCTGGACAAATATTTTACCAGTAAAGTTTTTGTCTGAAAATATTGTTTACGGAAAGTAATTTATTTGAAACGTATTTGGTTGGAAAATTAGTTTTACCAAATACAAATAGAGCGCGCTGTTGGAAAGGTAAAACCCTTGGGTTGTAGCGTAGACATAATATTATTATAGAATTATGTTTATGGTAGATACCGTGTTTATAGATAATACCGAATGCACAACACAACAGGGCCTAAAATTGTGTGCAGTAGCACACACTATGTGTGGTAGCCAATATTAAATGTGCAATAGCAAATTTAAAAGTGTGCAGTACTTATTTTAGGCTTTTATACATTTTTTTTTTTATTGATTATTGAAATTAACGAAAATTTCTAATTAGAATGCATTCATTTAAAATTTTTAACGCTAAAGATAATACCAACTACACCGTCTGGGCGAGCTGAAACGACATTCGTCTTTTTTGTCTGTCCGTCTAAATTCAACCCTTATTCAGCAGTTTTATGCTGGCGTAAAGAAAAAAATTGGCATGCTAAGTTACAACCGTATGCTATCAAGCAGGAATGGTTTCAAAGGGTTTTCTCTGAAGCTGAAGCCTCAAAAAGTATTTCTTTTGTTGAGAATAATAGTATCAAAATTTGTTTTTAACTAAATTTATATAATTGTTTTAAATATAACACTGTGTTAAATGTTGTTCCCGCAATAAAGTAGATATTTGTTATTATTTAATAATTCAATAAGTATATTAACCCAAGCTATTTAGTTTTGATTTAAAATTTCTAGTCATAAATCAAGGATTTTTATAGAAGATTGTCTTAGATTGTATTTATTATTGGATGTTTTATTGTATTATTGTTATATAATTTATGTATTTATATATTTATTATAGCTAATTATTAATAAATACCAAAAACAATTATGCAACGAAGTCATATGTGTTATGTGAACTACTAGGTTATGTTCATTACTTTAAAATATATCGGTGTGTGGAATTAGGTATGCAGTAGCAAAATACCCTAATTTTAGGCCCTGCAACACAACACTTCAAATTTCGATAATATGAATTATGTACTTTATAATATAGGTAGGTATATACTATATAGAGAGCACAAAACGGTGGTTCAGTGGTTAGAATATAATATGAGGTAAAGTGTTATTACCATTGTAAGTATTTTCTACCGAAATACAGTTCTAACAATGTAGTATTCTATCGACATGTTTATTATTTTCGTGTATAATATTTTTCTGTACAAATACTGTTCGAATAATATATTTTTATTTTAAAATACTGTTCGACGTAAATATGTTTCGGATTATTAATTTTCGACAGTTATATTTTTCTAATAAAATATCATTCTAACAAAGTATTTTCGTAAATTTTACGCGTCTCCAAACAAAAGAATTAAAATAAATACCACAATACCGGATAACTGTACACGTGTACAACACCCGAATGTGGATAAAGTAATTTGGTAGCATATTAGATTATATTAATTATAATATTTATGTTGAGGTCTTATGATTATACACCCACCTGGACCCGACGAAGCACCCATTTCAGATATGAAGCAATTGCTTCAAATAATACCGCTGAAACTGTTTGACAGTGGCCCACTCATGGTACGAAGTACCTATCTAGTCTATTTTAAAATATTAAGTAAATTTGCTAAAAACATTTCATTGTAATCTTAACAATATTTTATCTACAATATTTAGTTTATAGATTAAAAAAAATTATTTCGTTGTCTTTTTCTTTAAAAATGTTGATTTTTTTTTAAAAAATCAACAAAAATAGCGAGTTTTTTTATACGTTTTATGGGAATTAATTTTATCCGTAGAAATCCATTTTAAAACATCAACAATAAATCAATAATGTTACTATAGCAGAGGAAGGATTTAAAAAAAAAAAAACTCCTTCAAATATAAGGCAAACTCCCCAAGAATTGATATGGATAAAAGCCATGAATAATCTATAGGTATTATAAAAATGCATATTGCATATCGCATAATGTAAAAAAAAAAAAACCCGGTAGAAACCGGGGTAAATATATTACGGAAAAAGTATTTTTGGAGCTCCCTACTTTATGAAAGGATGTAAAAAATTATTTTACCAAATATAAATAAACATTTTTTGTATTACATAATATTATACCTATATTTTAAATTTTGTGTTGGGCATATTTTATTATATTTATATACTATGTAAACTGTACAAATTGCTATCCATTTAAATATAACGAGACAACGAATTACCTACAAAAGCTTCTATAGAAATTATTTTTCCCAACAAGAAAACTTACCTATAATATTTTAAGACCAAAGTAGTAAAGGTACTGTCATAGACAGTAGCGTAGCTGAAGCTCAATGAATGGGGCTATTTAAAAATTGTAATATACCACAAAATATCGCGGCAAATGTGGTTGAGGTATTGATTTGTCTTAGGTAATAACACTTCGAATTAACCAATATTCTTATAAATTTAAATATTTTGATGTGTAAATTATCAAAATTTAATTCGGCGTCTTTTTCATTACCTATATATATATCAATATGACCATAAACTATAGACATAATAAACTAGTTTATAAGTCTATAAATAAGACAGCCGTAGATAGTATTCTGTGATAGTGTGATATAGGTGATTAGCATAACTCTATGGTATTAGTACAACCATGGTACGTGATTTCAGACAAAAATTGGCCGATATCATTATTAATACTTTTTGGTAACTGATACAAATTTAAAATACCAAATAACCAAATAAATAATAAATATCACTGAAATAAAATACTTTATTATTAATTTATTACCTATATAGGTTTATAACCGTGATTAAAAAAAATCATTAATAGAAAATTGCAAGTGGGAGCCGCCAACCCATCGCCCCCTCATCAGTTACGCCACTGGACTTATAGATTGAATAGTATTCGTATACGTATATTGTTTATACAATTATTTATGTACGTATTTAATCTATGGTATTAATATAATTTTGTTACTTCGTTCGAAAAATAAGTCAATTCAATTTTAATAACATAAATACAATACAATATATTTTGTTTTCGTATATTTGTTGTTATTAAATCCTGATATGCAATTGTTGCAATACAAACTGTCGCGACAGCAATTATAGTATCACAAAAACATCAGTGCCCATGATACGCTAAAATTAATGATAGTATCTAAACGAATCTGGCTGGTATTAGACATCATTTCGATACATAATAATAATATGTATGTTTACGAGGTGATAAAGATAGGCGATAGTGGTAATATGAGGTAATGGTGAGTTTGACCATCGCAATTATTGCCTTATTAAAAGCAAACGTCCCGTATTGCCCCCGCTATCCGAGCGCCTATTGTATTGAACGAGAAAAAACCTTGTAACCCTGTGTCTCTCTAATAATAGGGGAAAACAAGGGGCAAAATCAACTAGACAGATTTCAACATTTTTATCGGGGTGTTGTTCGGGATTTCAACAGCTGTATTGAGTCTTCTAATCTTCAATATTTAATTATAATACAATCGGGGTCTTTTCTCATTTATTTATTTAACAAGCCATTAACTATTTTTAATATTTTATTGGTTTTACCTTGACACCGGGGTAATATCTATGCATGGTATAACAGGTACTAAAATAGTTATAGAAAAATAATGTAACATTCACATTTTTTTCTAAAGGAATTTACAAAACCAAGTACTAATTACTGTTGTATTTTAATTATAGTAATATAGGTTAGTGAATAAAGACAATATTTACGAGTTGTAAATTCATACTAGACGTGTATATGAGGGTTGTAGTATCATTTATTGTGTAATTATTAAATTCAGCTTAATTAATGTAATTAGCTTCAAAAACTTCGTCGTCAAATTGCAATTCTATTGGTTTTACTATAATCTTTATTTTCGGAAATACGACTTATAATACTCGCCTGCGTAGTAAATGGAAAGTGCAACAAAAGTTCTCGATACAGGATTATTTTTGAAATGGTATAATGCTATCGAAAATAATATAAAAATCAAACAAATAGTAACAATAGGAAATCGCAAAGCAAATAATTCTAAATCCATAAAATATGTTAGCCATAAATAGTTCGTAAATAATGCCACATGAACTCGCATTAGATACTGGAATAAAAAGTATCCTATATATTGTGTTAATCCAGAATTATTGCGTGCCAAATTGTATTCAAATTCGTTCAGCCTTTGTGACGTAATTGAATCACAAACACCCAAATACTGTCACAAACTTTCGCATTTATCATATTAGTAAGGTTTCAAAGCGCATTATATATATATATAAAAAAAAAAACATTACCGCAGACAACTGTTTACGTTCATTAAGACTAATAAATAGTATAAATATAATACGTATGGGTACACCTATTTTTTAATTATATTCTGTAATTACAATTGAATATACTAAAATGATTGATAATGTGGCACTTACTGCAAATGGACAACTGTAGAGTTGTTCGATTATTTTAATTAATCCAAATTCTACTATAGCTGAATTGATTTATCGGAAATTCATTTTTTATATTATACGAGTATTAAGATACAAAAACATGGCAATTTTAAATTTTAATTCTTATTATCAGTAAATTGCCTATTATGTAATCTGAAATAATAATAATAATAGATACGGGATACTGTATATGATATTATATGTCTATGGTCATTATAGTGCCATGGGTGATGGGCACGATTATAGATACTATTATAGCCTAACTGCCCAAAGACCTAAGAAAAAGCGTTCACTGAATCTGAGCTCGTGTGACGGTCTGAAAACATACCGAGTTATGCAATTTTGCGCATTAGATCTATAGCCATGGCCGTAACCTTGAATGTCATATATTTTTAAATGATAAAGCAGATGATAAGTATTATCTTAATGTCTTAAATTCTCTTACATCGTCACACGAGTGCTATCCAGCTGGTCCTCGGTCGCCACTGCTTGACGATAGTAGCATCCGTAGCATATAGCGTTCATAGTATCCATAATCATGGTGATAGGTACAACGCACATTATAACGGCATATCACGTCCACGTATCAAAGTTTATAATCTGTCTGTATTTGGTTTTCCTTTGTTCATTACTGTTGTAACTTGTAGTGGCATATATTCTTCCAATTAATCGTTTTTTCGATTAGTTGTTAATAAGGATAATCGACCATGCACAATAAAAATAATCGAACAGCCCTAGGTATACTTACTAAACGCATCGTACAATTATTGTCGAACCATTTTATATTATAATGTCGATCGATACGTGTAAGCTGATGATGACAACTTTTCTTAACGATGGTGTTTACTGTGTTCGTCTTTTCTTCCAGTCAACAATGGTAATAATAATAAATATCCCGAAGGTAATGCACAAACGGTTTTTATGTACCTAGCTATGTATATTCTTGTTGTTCGGCGGGTCTTTAATAAGAAAGATCTCCTCTTTCTCCATCCTTGTGTACATAAAGTTACTCGCAGTATTAGTTTTTCGTTCGGTTTTTGCGTGTACGATAGCAAACAAAATGATTTGTTCTACGGAATTTTCGTGTAAACAAAGGGTTTAAATATATAACTATATACTTACCTAATTTTAAAACGAGACTGAGTGTTGATACGAATGACAGATTACGATATAATTATAATGGGGTCATACTCAAATTTGATGTCTCCGTGAAATTAAAAAATAAAGTTGATAATGAGAGGATGGGTGTTTCACTATTTTAAGTGGGAAGTTGAGAAGGTGGAATAGATAAAATGATTTAATTTATGCCTGAAAATGCTGGTGGGCCATTGATAACGAAAAAACGATTCGGAGCAAATATCATGTTTGAAAGGTCGTAATATTCACGATTTTCGTCAAAATTTGATATTCAAATTTCTATATACAAAAAAAAAATACTACATTACATTCGACTTTTTATTTTTGACCACTAATTACGACTTATAATGAACCGCCTGTTAAGTTTTCAAGCATTTCTGTTTAGTCAAATAATTTTATCTACAGAGTACTTACCAAATAAAAATTACATATAAATTTATTTAGCTCGTAAAATTAAAATGTCTATGAATAGTTTAGAAATGAAAAAAATGAAAAATTTCTGATAGAAAACATAAGCTGTAAAAAAAAAGACTGGCATACTTCGCACGTGGGTGTAGTCACTGTTGTAGGTGGGAAGTTGGGAAGGTAGGAAATAGATGGGAATTTAATGTATGTCTGTAAGCAATGATAAACCATTGCTAACGAAAAAATTATTCTGAGCGGAGTTCTGTTGATAATGTTGCTTTGTCAACAATTTATATATCATTTTATGGTAAAATGATTAAAATAAAAAAAAACTTAATAATAAAAAAAAAAAAAAAGGTTGCAAAGGACAACCATTTTTTTAATTTTTAATCTATTTTAACTTTTAACTAAGACCGAGGTTTTTTTCATTATCTCAACAATATGATTATTATAAGGGAACTAAGTTTCCACAATTGTATAGTATGTATTTCAGTAGAGAAATATAGGTATTTTATAATATCAATAATTATGCATTCCTATACAATTCGGCATGGATAAATTAATTTTACCATATTATCATATCATATCATGGGAAATAATACGATCTTTTGGTTTGAATTGACGCGTATCGTTTTTCGGCGACAGCTGTGGGATACTGCACATGGAGTTTACCCCCACTGCAGAGATCTCGTCAGGGTCGATGATTGCGTAACAATAAGGTTTAGATTATGTGTCTATCTATATTACTATCTTAATCTGTATTGTATATTTATTAATTATCTGTTTATTACTTTTATTTGTGTAGGTTCCATAGTGAGTATTCCATTTAAAAAAAACAATGTTACGTGTAGGTATATTTCGAATTTTTATAAAGATTATATATAAGTTAGAAGGCCTCTAGTTTTTTAACTGCCCCGGGACCCTTTCCCATTTAGCTATGCCATTGATGCGACCCGAAATTATACATTATAAGCCCGAAATTCGTAATATTATTGCAATCCCTACTGCGATTTAGAATTAATCATTTCCAATCGGGTATCGCCATCGATTTTAGATTTTCTCAGCGAGGAATGTATTGGTTTTACTGCGGTGTGTCTATGAACAAATTTTCTACCAGAAATATTACTCCAATTTCCGAATGTGGCAACTATTTGGAAAAAAAAAATATGTCTAGTCCTTTAACTGGGCTGACAGGCTAAAAGGGCAAATTGTAGGTTTCGGGAGGCGATTCGTGTGTGCACCGATATATTGGTATTAGTACACATTTACCTTTACTTTTCACCTTTACAAATAGATATAATAATATAATCAATCAATGTAAAATATACTATCTATAATACGTCTAAAATTGAACACTAAATAATTTCGAATTAGTTTTGTTGATTCACGTATCTAGTTCAATCAAATTATTACTTTGTAATTATTGTGTATTTTTTTTCATAGTCGAAACTTAAAGTAATAATTTTCATAACAACAACTTCGCGATAAAACTAAATACAAACAGTTGCTAATTGTTAGAAAAAATATTATTTTAATTTTTTTAACACGCGATCGTAATTTTATATTTTAATGTGACCATAATATTATATTTCCTTGGTTTTAAGATACGTTGTAATAATATGAATCAATTAAACGTTTTATATTATAATATGTATAATGTATGTACGTTTTTTTGTCATAATAAATTGTTTCGAACAATTTTCATTAATAAACAATGTTATGTTTGTAGCGTCGATTTTTGCATATTCATAATATTTTATTCGATAAAACGGAAGTAAATAAACTGCTGAATAATAATGATTTTTTTAAAATGCTCGGTGATGATGGGGTTTACAATTTATAAGTTATATAAAACATTTTATCGGCAGCTACCCTCAAAAAGTATATATATATATATTTTTTTTTTCATTGCACAATGTAAATTTTTTATACCATACAATTTATGTATATAGCCCCTAGTGCAGTGTAATAAGCGAAGAATACATTAATCGTCATATTTTATTTTTTAGATTGTGTTCGTGTTACGAATAATTTTATTTCAGTGTGTCTGATATCGTACTATTACTTATTATAGAGTTTATAATATTATAGATCGTATAGTAGTTACAATTAAAGGAGTTTTCGGGTCAGTTCTACTAGAAGAGGGGTCTTAACATTACATTTTTTGATAAGACTATTTTGTTCTTCTAAAGTAGGACTTAAGAATTATATACTGATTATACAGGTAGATAATGGATATTTTGTGAAACAAATATGGAATATATTATATAGTGTACGGAGGTGGGCTATAACCCAGCCCATTCATAGCCCCAGTCATGGGCACCTATAGAACACATTTGCAAGACAGATTTTATTAGTAGGTATAATAATAATTTATGAAAATTAGTATCAGTTTATAATATTATAAATAACTTATATGAATTATATTGTACATTTTGGTTCTAAATTCTAAAAAAATATGTACATTTTTATGAATGCGCGTGTTTTAAAGGTTTTTTTCACATATCATGTGCATTTCTCTTTGCGGTTTGAATAGTAAAAAGAAAAAAAAAATGTTCATGGTTGGATAAAAACAAGTATTGCGTTTGTGAGTATGGCATATTGTCTATAATATAAACATCACATAAATATTCAATGTTTGTATAAAGGATTTATTTTGTAATGCCTAAAAACTCCGTATTATTATTATCAGAAACTACGAGTATTTATAATAGTAGTAATAGTAGTAATATGTTACAAAATATAAAATTAAATCAAAATTATTAATTAAAATTTTATATTGTATCTGACATCAGGAATAACGTGTACCATAATACCTTTAATATTTAAAAAGACGGACACACATCACACCATGGGTAAGTCAATGTTTTATGTGTGAAAGTTGGGAAGGTATAGGATGTGTAAGTACCTAATTTAGTTTATAATATGCTAATAGCAATAATAAATCAATCAGTATACCTAGATATTTTTGATTGAAGATAAGCAAACTGGGAAGGTTATATTTTCAATCTTTGTAAATATCCAGGATATTAACTTAATTTTTCACTTCCTATTTTTTTTTTTTAATAAATTTAAAATTCAGTAGTGAAGGATTGTACTCCCCTCTACACTCCTTACTTGTATCAAAATACGATAAAGAAATTAAATTTATCTACATATTCTGTAAATTGAGTTACATTCCGTATTGTCACGTTATCAGATAAAATTCATGCGGTTAACTTTTTTGAAGGTCTTTCGTTTTTTCCCCTCGCTTTTAAAAACATTTTAAAAAATTTTAAATTTTTAAAACACTCTTTATTAAACATTTAAAAATATTTGCGTGATTCAACTCTTAAGAAACGTTATTATAATATTCTATTAGCCATGTCCGTTTCTATTGTATATAGCTAACGTAAGAAATCTGCAACAAATATAAAACCGATGTATTGTCGTTTATTGTTAGGTTTTTGAGCGATTTTTTTTTTTTAAAAACGTATTGGGATTTTTGAATAAATATTCAAATAAAGTAACGCCGGGTAGAAATTGCGTAATTTTTAAGATAAGTGTTGCATGAAAATATCGGAGCATTTTCGCTAACCAAAAAAGTGTTATCGAAGAAAAAACACATCTCGGTAAAACTAATAACTTTTTTTTTACTACGCCCAAAATCTAAAATAACTGATTCGGTAAACACAAGAGATTAAACTGCAGTATCTCGGCTATTTACTGAAGTGTGTTCCGTCCCGAAAGTTTATTATTTTAACGAGGAGGAATTAATCTTGCTAACGCCAATCGCCATCGTACTATAGTATCACCAATATTACTAAATTAGTGGATTTTTGTGAAATATCCTGCAAAGTCTGCGGAGCTATAATAATACATTAAAATATCGTTTAGTAGTTCCAATGTTTTTATTAGCGTTTAATAATGAAGGATTTAATTAAGCCGGCTTATAATATAGGCGTCTATATAAAAAAATAGAAAAATATCAAATATCAAAAGATGACTCCGAAATAATTATTTAATAATACCTATATTATTTTTTTTTGTTTTGATCAATAATTGTATTTAAAATTATAACTATTCAAAAAAATCGTAAAACGTTTATTTATATATTATATAGATGTACAGTAATATTATTATTATTGTGATATTCAAATTGTATTATTTTTTTAACCTATGGGGAATAAGGTGAAAAAGCGTTTTACAAGTCCATTGTCGTAAAAATGATAGCTGTAGTAAAAAAAAAAAAAAAAAAATAATAATAATAATAAATAAATAACGATTTTGTATATTGTTATTATTTATTATTTTTTTTATTTGAAATAACTTTATCGACTAAAGTCCAAAAATCCTATTTAATTTCTTAAAAAAAAAGAAGGTTTATAGTAGCTATATTTTATATTGACAAAAAGTAATAATATAAACTATTAGAATATTAAATATAAGAATATTTGAACATAACTTGTTAATCAAGAAAATGACAGAAGAATGTTATGTATACTATTATATTATTATCTTTGAAAACATACAAATTGTGATTCCTGGTAATTTTTCCCTCAATTATCACTCCGTCTTATTGAAATCATTTGATTCCATAAAAATAAATACATTTTATTTCATAACTATAATTGTCGTGAAAAAACCAGGGTAGTATAGAAATTAAATTCAATTAAACATCTTCTTTTAAAAAAAAAACAAAACAAAACTTATAATTACAATAGCTTTGTTTTAAATACACTTGTGACAATACATGAAGTGAGTTGTATTAAATATTAAAAACGATTTCTTCATTAGCTATTATATGTGTACGAATATATTGAACCTATTCATACACAATACTCAGATAAATATTTTTGTATTCTATTCTATTCTATTCCAAATAAAAACGCATTAAACAGCTACCTACTGTCTTTCGTTTCGGTAGGTAATATACCTACCGTTGGCTTAATCATCAATACTGTCCTAATAAAAAAATGGCAACTGTTCAGAAAAATAAAATAATATTTTGTTCGCGAAAACCCTCATTCCGAAACGATAATATTTTATATGGCGATCCGAGGGAGATAAGATTTTTACATCAACGTAAAAACTTCACTGTATTTATAATAACAGCATTTTCATGGGATAATACATTTTTTTTTTTTAAACGATGCGTTATCATTTATTTCTATTGGTTATAATTTTATTTTTGGAGTTACATAATATAATTGCGAATTAGGACGACGATATGCTAATCACACTATTATCACTAAACATTATTTCTATAGTATGTTTTTCATATGTTCTAAAGTTATGCCCATGCACGAAAAATTAAACAGGTGGATTTTGGTAAACGTATCGGGATATCGTGAGGATTAAAATAGTTTTTTTTTTTTTTGTAAACTATTCAGAATTATGATGTTGATTAAGTTATAGTCCGGGCAAAAAAAATAAGTCGATCCTGAATATTATACAACGATAAACTTTCTATTTTATTTTGCGACATCATTATAATATTATGTATAGTCAAAGGTATCTTACATATCTCCTACCTACAAAAAGACTAATAAATAATATATTATTATAATTTCGAAGTATAAATAATAAATAATACATATAGGCAGGTAGTAAAACATATATATCAGGGTCTACCTTTGCAAATTGGGATATTATATTTCTTCCTGACCAAATTCTCTTTTTTTCTTCTTCAGGTATACCTAATTCCTTCATAAGTTCATAATTCGTATTATTTATTTTCATCATTTTAGATTCTGAGTGAAGTGAGAGGAATGTATATTGTTTTTTTCCCTTTATAACACGAGGTATGACATTATTTCACGGCGACACGCAACACTAATAATAAATCATCAATGGTGTACTACTTTTTGCAATTCTATAAAACTACATGTGTTTACGTATAATTATAAACCTAGCTACTATTTATAAAGCAGTCTTGTAAACGTATTTGTAAAACAACAGATTTCATGCGTCTGCAGTGATAGGTTGACAGCTAATTACAAAATTCTGACGTGTTTTTAAACCTCTGGAAGCCTGCTGCAGTTCCTCGTGGAAATTAATTTCCACGATGCGAAAATCGATAAACTGACGTGTCGGGAATTTTGTAATATCCGGGGATCGGATACTGAATTCTTCAAAAACGGTATAATTGCGTAATAGGAGTTAAAATATTATAATATTTAGTATTTTAAACATAAACAGAATTTAAATTTTATAAATAATCGTGAGACAGTAAATATTAATATAAAATATTTAAGTCGAGTATACTTTACGAGTATAGAATAAGTATTTCACGAGGATGTATTATTACTATGTAAAGAACGATATTCAAATGAGTTATTATTTTCTTTTAATACATACAAAATATAATTGATAAATTTGATTGTGTATGCAATTTTTAGACACTGATCTATTTCATATAAAATTTTAAGAAAAAAGAAATTAAATATCAATAGTATTATAACAATAATCATGGGTAGGCAAGTTAATGTAAGTCATTATAATAATTAAGTAAAGTTAAATAAACAGATAAACAAAAAAATTAATCGGACTGGTCAAATTAAATGATGTTAACTTAAATTAGTAATAAAATATTTAATTTGTAACATTACAAGTAATATAATAAGATAATAAGTAAAATAATTGTTTTAATTTATATAAAAATAAACAAAAATTAAACCACCAAAGCGAATATTATTAAATAAATTGCAGTCAATCTTAAGAACACCAAATCAAAATTTAATTTTGAATTTCGAAAAAAATTATTCTTCTTTGACTTTTTAACTTAACTGGGTGTTTGGATGTTTATACAAATTAACAATAAATAGTTAAGTGTATATAATCAAAATGTAAACTAGTTAATTAGTTAACGATAAAAATAATGAACTACCTAATTAAATTAAAAAGACAAATACAAATTAATTTTTAACTCAACTTATTCAAATTTTTAACTTGTGTACTCCAAACATTTTTATTTTTATTAAATTTACTTTCGCATTTTAGTATACTATTAGCACAGTAAAACAATACAGTTAAATAATCATATAATCGTATAACCTACCCATATAACTCGTATAATTATAATAATATTATTTATCTGTTTTTATTTTATTTTTTCATTACACGTAACAATTCTTTAATACAACACAAGTAACGTGGCATAAATTTAACGTACACACAATGTATAGTTTTTTGTAGTATTTCTTATACGACTTTGATTCACTAGATTTGATGCACTCTCTGATCAAGTAAATACCGAGCAGTTAACTAAACTTGGTAGCTGTACACAATTTGCATTCGACGGTTTTTCTCGTGATAAAGTTAATTACTTTATACTTTATAGCACTTGGCCTTACTCATGAACATGTTGCCGGAATGGTATTCTTTTATAAGCTCTTTTGTCGAATTTCACTTTTTATCGGCCTCCTTTTCGTGATAGGTACCTACTCTTCGGTCCTTTAACACTGCACAATAAGGTCTGTCCGTATGGACCCTATATCTAGTGATTTATACAAAAGAACATTCATAATTTCAACTTCGACAATTTAAACGAAAAATCTCTTTGAAATAATATATTCATATATGTACCTAATATATCTACCATACGAAAATTCGTGTGGTACAGGTAAAAAACTATGTATGATTCTATCAGTTTTCATAAAGTTTTACGTATGTGTATCAGAAATAAGTTATTTAAGAAATAGGTAAGTTAAAATTGGTTAGTAGTAACGTTGATTGGGTCTGTAGTTTTCTCCTATAAACCCGATAAAGAAAATATAATCATAAGAACATAACCTCAAATATTTCAATAATGAGACTATACAGACGACAACTTACGGGTGGCCACTCACGGTATTTTTTTTATCATATCCCGAATAAGTAATATTTATGGACCGTGTATTTAACTCTTTCGCCTATTGCTTGATAACTAAATATTGAGTGAGAGAAAAAGAAATATCGGCTGGTCATATCATGGAAGGAAATGTATTGTTATTTCTTTATTCCATATGTATAATAACAAAAATGTTATGAAATATTGAGATATAACTAATTGATTGATTGATAACAATTTTAAATTTCAATTGATAAATGTACATATCGTATCGTGAAGTAAAATAATGTTTTTTTTTTTTAAATTATTTTTCTATTATTAGTTCTCCCGTATAGGTTCCATCACTTTTGTTCGACATCGGGCCTTTAGTTTCTCTCTCTGTGTGCGGTCCATAGTTATTAGGTTTACTTTAATTACTGTTGGTTTTTTACAGTACTGGGTACACGCAGCAGTTCGGGGGATGGCGTGAAAGGGGTTATACAATATTTATCTTATTGGGTGTACGGCAAACATTTGAAAACGACCAAATTGACTGGTCGTATTATCGACCAAAATTTCAGGTGTCTGTACGACTTTACAATAATATATTGTTACGACGATGTGGTACATCTTGAATTGCAGACTACTCAGTAAACTACGGAATGTAGAACAAATAGGTATATCGCTGGTATATGTTTTAGATTGGAAAGTTCTATATAATATATATTAATCGTGAAAGTGTTTGCTGCAGTGTGTATATATAACATAAATCGTCGAGTCTTTTGGTCGGCAACGGGGTAAATAATATTATTGTTTAGTCTCTCGGCAATTATCTACCGCGACGGCGACGCATTGCGCCGTGTTTCCCGCAGCCGACTCGAACACGGTCGTTCACGTTTAGGCGGACACCGGAACTCCGCGGGGCGTGGTTGACGTCGGATATAGTCTCGGTTCGCGTGCTCGAAAATCGGTATAATATACAATTTGCTCGATTTCAGGTGCTGTCGTATTTATAATATTACGTGTGGCCCATTACAATAATATTATAGACCTCGGGCGAGAAATCATTATGCCGATAATAATTATATTATATTTAATATTACAAGTATATGCATAGAGGGGACGAGTATTTATCGATTTTGCATTCTAAACGTGTAGCGAGAAATGCGTAAACATATTAGATTTTATAATTGATTTAGTTTTTCAAATCTATTTGACGACTTTTCTATTCGAAATCTTGCTCCAATCATTAATATCAGGGATACAGTTTTTGCTAGATAATTTTGTTTAGTTGTTATTTTTTGGGGAGATCATTGATTTAGATTTTCCTTGTACTTTTTTCAACAACAAGTAATTCAGTAATTCAGTTAAAAATAATCGTAAGACTTGCAATTTTCACCGAATACATATATTAACAGTTATTAAAACATTTAATTTTTGAGCTATTTAAATCGTGTAAAGAAAATTAAACCTTATGTACGCATTTTTTTTATCAGCGTTTTAAGTTCAAAATTTTCATGAAAAAGTTGTAAAAATCTCGTCATTATGCATGCCTATTATTTTCTGTTTTTTTTTCTTAATATAACATTTTGACACCATAAAAAATTGAGATGAAAAAACACGGAGAATTGTAATTTATTTAGTAGTACAACTAAAAATGAATTTAACTTTTAATTTAAGTTTAGTAAAATATGGTTAATTAAATTTCACTCAGAATCGTTTTCGTTGCAATGATTTGTTGTTGCGTATGAATATAAACTAAATCGTCTATATATCCTACTTTTGCAACTTTCCACTTATGTTGTTTATATTGCTCAGTAGGATTATTAGTTTCTTCAATCTCTAGTGAAATATAGAAAGTGAATATTTTTTTCACAATTTCAGTTTCTAAGTGTAACGAAAAAGCTATTAGTTTTATTTATATGTATTTTTTTTTAGTAAACCTCTTTTTTGGTACGTAAAATGCTTTATTTTTTCCGCATCAGTGTACTTTAAAATATGTGGAATTTTTGTTTGGTGATGGTACTTCAATTTTTTTTTAAAGTTATTTATACATTTCACTTTAGTTTTTTCTCAGAAAATACTTATTTGATTAGTAAAAATGATACAAATTTTTCACTTCGTATTAAAATTTGTGGATTTTGTTTTCCTAGTGGTTACTTTATTTGAATAAATTGTCTAAGTTCTCAATAGAATTTTGGAAAAAAGAAAACGGTGATAAACTGGTTTTATTTTTATTAAATTTCAGGTTAGCTATAAGAGAAAAACACGACTAATAAACTTCTTTGCTTAGAACCGTTTTTTGATCACAATGATTTATTATTACTTTTATTATATTGACTTATAACCTATACATGGCAAACATATTGTACATTTTATATGGTTTTTTTTTTTTTTTGAAATGCAAATTAACATTAAAAATTTAAATAACTACATAAAATAGGTACGAGTACTTTTTATTTTTCAAATAAAACAAATTCTTTTTACCGTCTTACAGTAGTTTACTTGATACATTGCATGCGAAAGAAGGAAATATTATTCATATTTTCAGAATTCTCGACGCGTTCCCCAAAGTCCGTTTATTATATTATTATACGAGTTGTGTCTTGTGCGTATGCGTTAAGTGAAATTTTCAATCAAAATACGCGATCGCGTACGCCATAAATAATTTTGTTTATACACAATTTTAGCGTAGAAATATGAAAAAATCGCCAGTTTTCATATTTTCAGCATGCCGTTTATTATACCGGCGTTTTAGTACACCATATATATAATATTTTATTTAAATATCAATAATATAATATTATTATAAACATTAATGCCCAATTTTTTTTTTTTGTAATACTTGTGTGGTTATTCATGGCATCGTTGTATATATCCTTGGTTCCAGGGAAGAAGGACAAAGTCAATTTGGTACAGTTTTCAATATAAGCAAATTAAATGTTGAGAATTCCTAAATAGCTAAATATTACTATATACATAATAATTATGAATTATCTATTCTTTGCTAAATAAAAAGGTATACATCATAGTTACTGGCGATATTTTAGTTTTCACTTTTCAGTATAACATGTATTAGAATATTATTATTAAATACACTTATGCTATTTAGATCAAAGAATTAAATGAAAAAATTACCCAAGACAAAAATTGTAGACAAAAATCGACTTAAGTCTTATTACTCCGGAACCAAAGACTAGGCATTAAACATTAAACATTGAATGAGTTAAATTATATTATGATTTATTTGTTTTTTTTTTTATGTTTTAGTGGAGACACAGATGGGGCGTTATGACCAAACTATCACCAGCAGCAGGTGAGTACGTCTCGACGTTAAAAAGTTTAATATTATTTTACGATTTTTGTAATAAAAAGTACTACAAGGTATATGCACATATTCATGTATGTTGCATAAATATTATATTCTAATTAATATCAATTAATCAATCTGCGTGGACCCATTAAACGCATGTTAGTTAATTAGGATACCTTGATACAAATATTATAATGGACACGCGTTGTTGGTTTCGTATTTTTTCTATGGGTACTCGAAAATAATATTTTGTTGATATTTACAAAAATTCTGTGATATTATTCAACCTTTTACCGCCGTTTTGCCCGGAAAAGGTCAAATATTTGTTTTTTAGAGGGTCAACTGCAGTGTGCTGTTCCGCTGGCATTTAATAGGGTTGTTGTATCTACCTATACGTGCAGGTATAATATAAACACAGCGTCATTAATACAATTTGTTTAACGATGTACATTATTATTATGAGTATCGGAATATAGATACACTCAATTATCGTTATATTTTTATAATAATGGCTTTGAACTCCTTTTTTATGTCATAAGTAATCATAATTATTATTGGTGGAAAATATTCCAACATGATGGAAATATTATAAAAATACTCTGTATAGGTATAGCAAATTTATACAGTTGCAGTAGATAAACAATTTATTACGTTTTACTTTTTACCACACATTTATGTACACAGTTTTGCATATGGATTTATTATATTCATATGTACCTATAGTCTATACGCAGTGTTATAGTTATTCTAATAAATCTATTCGAATAAAAATATTTTAATATTAGTATCAAATAATATAATATAATTTGGTATTACCCACCACTAATTAGTTAATGTAGTAAAATATTAAGTTATAATTTAAAAAGTGATCAAACTGTTGCTCTCCAACTGATATAAATTAACAGGAAAAAAAATATTCTGAATAATTTACTTTAAACTTATTTTCGATTACGTACTCGAAATTTTTTTTTTACTAATTTATTCGAATATGAATTCCGAATACAATTTTGAACAAAATAAAAGTTTTCTTTTCAAAATTGCCTATATACGTTGGTATCTATATATTTATATGAACCTAAGTGTGATTAAAAAGTTTCTGGACTTTTTGAGTTGTGTAACAACAGAGCGTCAAAGAGCAGCAAGATTGGGTATTGCTGGTTTCTGTGACTTTTCTGATTATATTTTTTTTTCGTAGTTCTCTTTAACCTTCTTCCTCAAAAAAAGTGTTTGTTTTTCGCATAATAGATGTTTTTCATGTTGTTGATTTCATATTTCGTAACAAATCCAAAATTAGAGCAATTTAACGTAGGTACCTTTTTTTTTGGAGGGGGAGGGAGGAGAGGGTTGGAAATAATTTTTTTCTTTTTTCTTTTTTTTTGGTTATTTAGATTATTTTGGTGTATTTAATCGTTCTAAAAAGCTTCAGATAATAATAATTAATAACTAAATTGTTTGCTGGATACGGTATCTATACTGAATCTATGATATCTAAAGCACTATTATTATTATTTTCTGTAATTAATCTTAAGATTGTTTTGCAGACAAAATACAAGTAATAGATCAAAATCTTCTCGTTCGTATATTATACATTTTTGGTTCATACACTATTTGACGCATATATTCCCTATAATTAGTAGCGTGTCCAAAAATTCGCTATGGAAGGGGATATAAGAAATAATGATCATGAATAAATTGTCCATACCCAATTTGTCTATGGAAATTTAAAAGCCAAATCCAAAAAAAGTCATGTTTTAATCAATAAATAAAACTATTCTTTATTACTTGGCTGAAAAATATATATTTTAAGATTAAATGATAAATAAATATTTATAGTTGTATTTTTAAGCTAGCAGGGAGGGATATTACCCCTTACCTCACATCTTACACTCGCCACGGCTTATAATAAAATTCTTTGTCAGTTTTACCTTTAACACATTTTTCTAAAATTAATTAAAGTAACAATTCATTTCTTATTTACTTGATATTTCTTCAGAGCTCTTCTCTCTGATATTTTTTTTTAGTACTTCTTCATTACTCACCATATGAGTTCTATAATATATAGTAATAATAATAATAATCTATGATGACTTATAATAAATTATAGATTATCTGACGCAAAATTATAAACAATTAAAACGTATATTTTGCAAACTAATATAAACATTCTTTATTAATACAAGCCATTTATGCATGATACGCTTTTGTATTAAAATAGATTAGTATTTATTTTATTGTTAGTAATGTTTTTTTTTTATTTTACGAGTTAATTAAAACTGAATACTATACCAAATTCTGTAAATGGTTGCTGCTGAATTTTCGTTATTTTCGGCTTCACGACAGCTGAATTCTCTGCAACTTGCCAATTTATTCTGACCATAAAAAGATCTCTCGTGTGCGGCAATTTCCTCTACCGTCAAGTCCAAAGTAAATAATGATCCCGTGTGTTAACGATTGCACCGATGAAGTGGAGACGTGTGTATAGGAATAGAGTATATATACGCGAGTAAATATATAGGGTGAGAATGTTAGGGGGAAAAAAACAACACGTGGATACAACGTTTCTAAGTTATTTCTCTTTTAAAAGTTCCCTTTAAGCCATGCACCTCGTTGATATGGACCAACAATTTATTTTTCCTTCTTTTATCCAGCGATACTACTGCAGTAGAACGTCAACGTGAAATCGAAATCTAAAAAAAGTAAAAATTACACTTTATCCGCTGTTTGATAGTGGTTATTACATAAACATAATAGTATAATGAAAACAAATATTTAAGAAACGGAAAAAGTCTGTGTTTTTAAATTGGTAGATAATTTATAGTATACAGTATAGAGTTTCCAGTTCCCACTCAGAATATGCCGTACGTGAAAACATCATAGGTGTAAAATATTCCCCTTGAAAAATTCTCATTAGAAATATTACCTATTCAAAATATCCTCATTTAAACTATGACACTTAGAAAGGTTTTTGAAAATGTAAAAAAGTTTTCAAATGAAATAAGTTTTGATATGGTTAAAACGTGTTAAAAATTCTAAACTGTGAAAATTCTAATCTGCCATAGAGTATCATTTAAAAAGAATAGCGTACTTACAATTTTGAACTACAATAATAGCGTATCATTTTTTTTATGAGATTTACTTTTTTAACTCGTTTGACGATGTATATTTCGTATTGCGATTCTATTGTATGTAAATTTATTAGTATTTAATTTTCAGATGTAATTTAATGTAATTTAATATATATTTTTTAGAAAGGAATTATTGCAACACATGTTGGATATTATATGTACGGGATTTTTTGAATAAGGGATAATTTTCAACGAGAATATTTTCATGTACAGGATATTTTGAGGGTGTGACATAGTATAGGTAGTATTCCCATCACGCAAGTATGATAACGTTAAAATGGTAATTAATGATTCGACTACAAAATGTTATGTATTTATAGTGTTTTTATGTTAAATATGAAATAAATATCGGCGCGTTAGGGGCAACGATGATTTGTTAAAAAATAATAAATTTATACCCATCGTATAATATTTTATAATAATACTACTATGTGCCGGTGCATTACAATGCACCGGGCGTCATTTATATCGTTTAGTTTTTCCGTAGGGGTCTTAACAATAATAATAACACGTGGGGCGAATCTGTACTAAAGTGCGGAAATTTGCATAAATACAACAATGCAGTGCGTGTGTTTTGCATGCGGCGAGCGTCTCTCGAATTATTTAAATTAACAAAATACACCGTTGTCTCATCGTCGTCGTCGTCGATGTTGCGACCATTCTTCAAATGGGCATTCACATCCCTTTTAATGTCGTTGCATATTTACAATGCGCACTAATATGTTGTGGTAATATGCATTATAATATTATTACGTACAAAAAAAAAAAGAACAAGAAAATAAAAATCGTCTTTTCTACGCATATAAAATAGATTAGCGAAAGTGGAAAATGTAACTAAATAGGTAACAGTGTTACATAAATATACATTTTTAAGTAACAGTATAAAGATAAGTGATATAGCTAGAATATAAATGTCTAGATGATGATACAAGATACATAGCAATTGAATTATCTAGATAACAATAAATAATCGAGAACTTTTTATCTAGAAAAAAAAAGATAATTTTCTTAGTCGAATCAAAATGTTAATTTTGATTTATAAAAATCCGTATTTATTCGAATTCTCAGTGAAAATGTCTATTGAAAAATAGAATAATAATTTCGATGTGGTTAATGCAAATTATATCGCAAATGTTACATTACAATTTATTATTCCATGTCAGTTTATTAATCAGTTTTATATTTTTATATGATTTTTATAAAATACACGTTTGTATTCAATGTGTTGAATAATAAATTCGATATTCGGTTTAAATATTTACGATATGGATCAAATTAGTATTACTGTATTGCAGGATTTCAGAGTAAAAAAACTATATTAGAATAGTAAAAAAACAGTTTAAAGTAATTGAATTTAAATATTACAATATAACTTATTCTAATAGAATATTTCAATTCGAGAATCACAATACCACGAGTACCTACCAGAGTTAAAGTACCTAATGAAGTAACGACGAATAACAATATTATTCATACTCTATTATAGAGAACAAACTATTCTGCGAGTTTTATTAAATAAATTATTATACTTATTGTACCTACCAACTAAGTCGTGTTATAATAATGTTATAAAACTACCAAGTTATAATATATACAAAATGATACTATACTGCATGAACACTATGAATATACATGAAGCGTTATATATTTACCTTTACGTCCTTATTCAATTTTTCACAGGAAGTTAAATATTTTAAGTAAAAAACCTACGCACTGTTCATTTGTATACTTTTTTTTTTAGTATACGTACGCATATTAATCGTATGAGTCGTTTTGTACACCAAATCCAATTTTCACGTACAAGTCACAATCTGTTCAGACACTTCTGTTATTATTTATAATACCCCGATGGGACACAGATTCTAATATTTTTAATGCATTGTTTGGATAATTTTTATAGGTAGGTACTTTATTATCAACGATACATAAATGGCAAATCCGTCGCAAAGTTTACTAGACCACCTGATATCTATCTAGCATGTTAACAATTAGGACAATTTATTTTAATGTATAATGTATAATATGTTTCTAAACATTTTCCACATTGGTTATAAAAAAAAAAAAACGAACATACTGCACGTATGTTAGATGGGAATTTTGGAAGGTAGAATACAAACGGGAATTTAATATATATATGTAAGCAATGATAAACTATTGCTAACGAAAAAACGATTCTGAGCAGAGTTCAGTTGATAGTGTTGTTATGTCAACAATGTATGTGCCATACTATGGTAAAATGATTATAACAATGTGCGTTTCCATGACAACAATAAATTGTTTAGAAAAGATTGAAATAATAACAACTTAATAATAACAAAAACATGTTGCCAATGATAACCTTATTTTTAATCTTTCAATTTGTTTAACCTAAAGAAACAGGTTTTCCTCATTATCTCGAATATTAATAAGAGTTTCAAAAAATTAAAGTACATTTTCTTTCAGAACAGATGCTATAGTTGATAATTGGGGTAAAATTGTTGGTAGAAAAAGTGTTCAAATTAAAAAATAAAAAAAAAATAAATATCATTGCAAGACCAATACATTATTAGCTAAACTCAGAATCTAAAACCATTATTATAATAATAATACGAATAAAAGGTATAATGAAATTGGTTGCATTATAGAATTTGAAATTAGACGGTTTTATATAATTTTCGTTGTCCAAACTTATATCACAACCTGTACATTTTTAGTGCTTCAACTTGTTATAATAATTGTGGTCGCTATTGACTAGCCAGGCCAGAGTCGGGCAGTGTCTTCGATACAAGTATATGAAATACAATTGAATCGCGATACACTTCTGAAAAGTATCGATAGTATCTTGTCTATTGTGACACTGAAATCAATGTAGGTATCTATAGTATCGGGTATCTAGTATTCTAGATACTCTTTTTGAAGTGTTTCGCCCTTAGGCATTCGATTGGGCGGGCGGCGACTGGGTAATTTTCCCCTAGATTTTCGAAAAATACATTACGAATAATTGAAAGGGTATTTCGATAGAACGTAAATATAACCGCCGCGTCATTTGAGTTAGACGCTGCTGATGTTCGGCGACGAAGATTTAACGGATATTTCGTTTCGAATATGTCGTGTATCGGGTATAAATAGAGTATTTATAGACATCGTATGTTACTACGGAGTATTTTTTATTGTAATACTTGTTACACACAATAGTATCTATGGACTAGTATCGAGCGTCTAGACTGCAGTTGAAAATCAACTTTATCCATACACTGTAACTTATAAATTATAAATACTATTACAATTTAGATACTCGTTGTTTTGAAGTATCTTGCCCGTTCTCTGTCGCGAGTGATTACTCCGCCTCTTATAATTATTCCCGACTCTTAATAATTATCTGCCGACAATGCGTTTGAACTTACAGCATACTTATTTTCAAAAAAAAAAAAAAAAAAAAAACACGCGTTTACAACAACTGCGAACACGTCAATGTATCGTTATTTGTTTTTAAAAAAAAAAAAAAATCCGCGTACATTTTTACGGTTACAACGGGTTCGAGGACACGCCCCCGGGCCGTGTGTTTCCGTATAAACGTCGCGTTTATCACCACGACGTGTAATACTATTATTATTGTAGGTGTACTGTCGCGGAGAAAATCGTACGGGTTTTTTTCCGTACCCCCGCGGGTTGTGCCCGTGTATTATTATAGGCGCGTCTCTAAATAAATAAAAATTAAAAAAATGTTTCGCGGATTTTCGGATCGTTTTTCATCTCGCGTACATATTATAATATTATATATGTATATGTTATGTGTATAGAGAGAGATTTCCGGTCGAGGGCGCGGGGGCCGTTTCGCATCGGCGTGTCTGACCCGACGGAAACGCGAGAGAGAAAAAAAAAATATTACTCTCCCTCCCCGCCACCCTCCCGCCACCCCACGCGTTTTTCTTCTTTTCGCGAACGCCCGTTTTTCGCACGAACGGTCGTGATGATTTAATAACGGGCTTTTCGTCCGTTTCGCCGCGCGCGGCGCCGCCGAGGCAGTTTGTCGCGTCGCCCCTCGCGCGCGCGCCCCGGGAAAATCGCTCGTCTCCGATTTCCATTTTGCCCGTCCGTCCGCGTCCGCACCGCGCGCCGCGCAGGTGCGGCGTATGACAATGTATCGCGCGCGGGTCCGCGGCGCGTTTGTTCCGCCGTTACAATCGTCGTCGTCGTCGCCGTCGTACCGCTAAGCGTATTATACGCGCAGTATATGCGTGATGCGCGCTTTATCGTCCCGGGCCCGTGCCGTCCGCCCGCCCGTACGCGCCGTCGGCTGCGTACAGTCGCTGCGGCAGTCACGTTCCTTACACCGCCGCGCCGCGCCGGATCGTTTTCCCCCGAACGATTCCGTAACCCCCACCGCCGTCCACGGCCGTTTTCCCGTCGCTACCGTATATATATATATAATGATGTACCGTGCGGTACACGCGTATACGCGATATATACCGCGGTAATGTCGGATTAATAGGAACCGCTATTTCGGAGGACGGCCGAATATCTATACGCGGTACAATACATATTACATTACCACGCGCTATTATTGTTCTGTATTATAATATATTATTACCGTTATTATTATATATATTAAAACGTGCCGGTGACGAGTACGTGAACGGGCACCGCTGTTGGCGGTCACGCGACGAATTCTCCAGAACGGGAATCGGGATTAATACCGCCGCGGCCGGTCCGTTATTCCGTATATAATACATATATATATATAAATATATATATACTGTGTACAGGGCGATTGTTATAAAGCGCTTCCGAACGTTTAGCGGCCCCGATGACACACACACACACACATACACACACGAATGACCGATTTATCGATTAAAACGGTACTGCGGCCGTGTGTAATGTGTTTTATGTACGAGCATTATTTTTTCGAGAGGAAGGGGGCTAAAAAAAAGAATAAAAAGAAGAAAATTAAATAACGTCCGGGGCCGGCGTATATTTGCCCGGGGGGAAGGGGGAGGGGGGCGATTGTCCGCGATACGTTCCGCATTATGAATACGTCGTCGAGTATAATAATACACGCGGTGCTCTGTAAACGCCGTAAATGTTTGCCGTGCCTCCGGGTGTCCGGCGCGCCCCGTCGAGTGTATATTGTGCGTGTAAACACTGTCGATTTTTCCATACATCCCCGGTCGGAATATTATTATTTTCCGATTGTTCTGGCCGCCGTATCCGTACTGAACGCAGTGGTGCCCCCGGGGGGGAGGAGGTTAGTGGTTATATCCCCCCCTGCTGTTGGCTTAAAAATACAGCTAAAATATGAGTAATCTAATATCGAAACTCATAAATTTCGGCCGATTTCCGAGAAAAACTTGATGTATTGATTAAAAATTGGCTTTGTTTTTTAGGATACAGTTTTTAAATTAACAATTCCGGTAGTCGAGTTGGACAGAGAAGACGATTTTACTATTTGTTCACGATTTTCATTTGGTACATACCCACCCGTTGAAAATTTCCGGATACGCCACTGATTATATGCTACATAATAAAGCCGCCGCACGTACAGGGTCTTTCAAACGAACGGCCCGATGCGACGAAAAACGAAGGCGAACGAAATTCTGACATTGAAACAGTCGTAAACGCCGCCTACGTAAAATTTGGTGCCGGTCCGTCTGTCTAGATACGAGGAAAACAGCGATAAGGACTTGCCCGGTTCGACCTAATCGTGAGTGGGGAGGGGGATAAAAGACCCGGAGTCCCG